CTTGTTGAATCTCCTAAACCATACCAATGTATTTTTTAATGTTTATTTATTTATTTTGAGCAAGAGTGTCCATGTGTGAGCAGGGAGGGGCAGAGGGAGTGGGAGACAGAGAACCTCAAGCAGGCTCCACACTGTCAGGGCAGAGCCCAACTCAGGGCTCAGTCTCAGGAACTGTGAGATCAGGACCTGAGCCAAAATCAAGAGCCAGATGCTTAACTAACTGAACCACCCATGCACCCCCAAGCGTATTTTTTAAACTAAGAATGAGGTTCTGGTTCAGATGCATGAATGTATGGTGGACCATTAGAAATAAAGTTTCAACAGACCAGGGAAGATCTATATAAATTGTAGAGGCATTTGCAGATACTTAGCTTAAAACATTTTTAAAAGAAAGGATTTTTGTTTTGTGTTGCTTTTACTTTTGTTTTAATTCTATGAACCTCCAGGAAATAGAATGAGTCTTAGAGGATACCTTTCTCTAATTGTCAGAGTTCAAGTGGTAAATCACAGTGTGATATTGTCTGACAATCCTACATGTCCCTAATACACAATAGTATCCTTGTCAGCAATATTCCAAGCAAACTGAGTAGAATATAGAGCTCCATTAATGGGCCTTAGCAGAAATAGTTATATATTGTTCTAACTCTAGCCAAATGATTTTATTTATTCTTTCATATTTTAACCAAAATGTGCCAAACAAGAATTATGATGAAAAATCTCAGTGATTTTTTTTTTAATTCAAGTACTAAGCACTTTTAATTTATTTGAGAAACCAGTCTCCTTCTCAATCACAGGCTTTTGTCCTCCAAAAAAAGCCATTTTTGAATTAGCTGGGGGAAAATACAATAATAAGATTTTAAATTCTGAACTACAAACTGCACCTGCTTAGGATCTAAAACTGAAATGGAAAACTCAAGGCTTAACCCCACATGCTCCCTGATCAAATGCAAACAGTTCTTAAAATAGCTTCATGTGAAGATGTTCAGAGCAGCTGAAAACCAAGATGTTGGTGTCCCTACTTACAACCTGGCAGCTTAATACCATGGCTCAGAGGCAGCTGCCCTGTGTCTTTCTGTTTCAGGTCCAGGAGCAACAGCTCTAAGGAGAAGCACAGAATCAGCCTCTGCTTTATCCACACTGCTGTCAACCCCTGAATTCTACTTTCCTAGTCAAGGGGTTGTCCCTAGATCCATCACGAAGACCAGTGACATTCATTCCAAGCCACTAACATGACAGGAAAATAGTTAAAAGTTTCCAAAAACCTTAAATAGGTATATAATAAATTTGAGGAAAATTTTAAGAAAGAAAAGAAGTCTTGTGTATTTAATCAGTCATAGCTGGTAACAGTAATAGTTACGTGTGGTATATTACACACTGCTACCTTCAGTAGCTTAGTTATCAGCAGATCTGTGAGCTTTCTCAAAATTCATCAGAAAGATATTCTTCATTGACTTAAGACTATTCTTTTCAGCTCCACTTATCTTGCTATAACTCTCAGTTAACCATGTTTACTGTTTTTCCACATAGAGAATTTTTTTTCCTGTGCTGTTCTCTCTTCCTCATGATGAACTGCTTCTCTCAAGGGCCCACTTATGCTTCTACCAAAAGCAGGATCTGGATTGGCAGATAATTGGTATGATCTGATGACACAGTGTTTTATGTTGCCAGGCTGGTGGTGGCATTAACCAGCAGTTTAAAATTCCATTTGCATTCACATGTAGGTGAATATACTGATATACTATACTGTTCCTGTACTAAAAAGAAGAAAGCAGTGGCTTATAGTTCTTTTAGCAACTAAACTGATTTTTCAAGAGCCAGAGGAGAGAACTGTGGGGAGAGTACCTAGAAGGGAGATGAAGGCAGGAAGAGGATAGGGTTGGGGAAGGCCTGAAGCTCTCCTCTGTCAGCATAGGCCAGTTGGCCGCTATCACCTTTAAACAGTATTGGTTGCAGCTATGACTTCTCATGTTGAAAACTCAGACTTTTTCTTTTATTATTTTATTTAGTTTTTTAAATGTTTACTTATTGAGAGAAAAAGAAAGTGTGCAAGTGGAGGAGGAGCAGAGAAAGAGAGAATCCCGACACAGGGCTCAAACTCAACGAATGGTGAGATCGTGACCTGAGCTGAGATCAAGAGCCATATGCTCAACCAACTGAGCCACTCAGGCTCCCCAGAAAACTCAGACTTTTTCTATTCTTTCATTTGAGAAATTACTTAATGAGACTGTGCATTAGAGAGAAAATTAGCTGAGCTAGTCCCTTAGATGTCTAAAACCTGGTTTTTCCATCTGCTGAATAGGGGATAATACCTGCCTTTTCTATCGCACAGGGCCACTATAGGATCAAGTGAGTGACTGATACTTGAATTATGTTAACAATGTAAAACACCTGGAGGGCTAAAATGACGTTGTTATGATTAAGGCTATCATAAAAAGTCTCCTCAGGGTGAGAAAAATGGTACTGCTGTTCTTTCATATGTAGCTTCCAATGATGTACTGTCTTTGTCAGAGTAGACAGAAATATCTTGATCTTCTGTCAGATTTGAACCCCAGATAGCTATGAGGCTATAATGCAGATTTTGTTCTGATGTCTTCCTTAGAGACTTCCTGTCTGACCCAATTCTGAAGGAGCAAACACTATCAATATGTGAGCCTTTTATGTTTAACATCTGTAGCTTCAACAGAAATGTCAACATCCTTCAAAGAAGGCTCAAGTATTTCTACTAAAATGTATATATGAACTTGGTTATTTGATTGATGTTAAGTTGGTCTCTGGAATTGCCTCCATACCTTGCAGACATTAAATAACCCTTTTTAAAGTAGGGAAGAAGTTTTCTGGTCCTTAACTTTTAATCAGAAATGAAGGATAAAATACTTACCATGGTAAAAAAGCATGCATTGTATGCAGGTTCAGATCACTAGTAATCAGCCCCTCTGTGAAGATCCCTATACTCAGCACTTATAAAAGCCATATTTGCCTTATTCACTGCTGTATCCCCAGTAACCCAGCCCATAGTAGGCATGTAGTAAGACCTATGAGGGACTCTAAAATATTTGCTATAAGTGCCTATAAGGCACTCTAAAATATTTGCTGAATGAACAAATGAGCAAATTAAGCCCTTTACTATGAAAATGTTTCCCCTAATTATAATGAAACAAATAGTGTTCTGTGCTCATCATGAATGGTTATTTAATGCTGATGGTCACTAGTTCTGTTCTAAGGAAAATAAAAGGAACTAACATTTCTTTAAATGTTTTTTAATACAACATATTGGAGAGGTGAGGCATATATTTCAGTGATAATGAAAATTTTGCTTTAGGTTAAGACAATAATATGGACTCTGTTCTGAAGAAAAGCACACAAGGCCCTTTACTGTTGTTTTTTTTTCCTCATCTTTCCCAACTCTTGACAAGTTGCAGTATCAGTTTCCTACAATAGTGCTCTATCAAATGCACCATCAGTTTGAAAACACAGTGAAGTATTTCCATCTCCAGTGACAATGCCACCTAAGACCAATTCTTAGGTAACAAATTCTTTGATTCAATAACAGTTTAAGCAAAAAAGATAATGACACATGAACAGAAGCTAGACAATTAAAACATTGTATAACTTTGCTAATAAGAGTAGTTGTCTTTGCCCCAGAACTTTTATAGCATAATTTTGTGTTGGTTATCATAAGAACCCAAACCCTACATTCTTTTGGGAAATCATTTGGAAAATTCTCATCAGAGTGACATGTCTTAATTGCCCTACATATTTGTTTTAAAGAAGTGGGAATAGCCCATGAAAATTATTGCTGTCTTTAGAAATATTCAATAGCAAAGAGCTCTTAAAGTGTTTATCCTTATTTTTAACTAAGCCTAATGGGAATTTCATAATAATGTTAACTGATAATGGTAGAGATATATTTACTTGGAATATTTGTTTTTAAGGGACAGAAGATTGATATATTGGTGTCATCATAGGGAAAGCATTTTTAATTATAGCTGGAGGAACACTGCCATAAATTGAAAGAATTCTCTCCAGTAGCATGCCACTCTTTGTCCTACTTTATACAATCCTAATACACAGATGGAATATGGTTAAGTGTTGTCAAACAATATTTGTATTATACTTCTTATAATCTTCCCAAGAGCTGCATAGATACTGAAAAGACATGTGATCATCAGTTGTCATTAAGAGAAAAGGAATAATTGACTATATTATAATCATTTTAGATGAATATGTATCTATGCTGAATGGAGCTCCTATATTCAAAACTATGTAGTCACCCTAAATATTGAATAAATAATATTCCCATAGAGCAAGTACAGTGAGCAGAATTTTCTCTGGCATCATTTGGCAGCAATCTAGCATCATTTCCCATTGACAGTGAGATGTGCCCATAGATATCCAGTGATATTCTTTGAATTGATAGGTATTTCCCCCAAATCTTCTAAAAACCTTACCTCAAAAATATCCTTCTATTCTCTTACAGTCATCCAAAAAATGTGAACGAAAGTAAAGAAAAGAATGCAATCTAGTTGCCATGTTAAGTTGATGGTTTCTTCTGTTTTTCCATGAAGAGAATTCCTTCTCTCCAATCCAGTGTACTTCTCCATTTTCATAACATTGTGATGATTTTGAAGTTATATATTGATCATTCACAGCAGCTTACAAGAACAAGCTGCTTGGGAAAAGTCATTTTCCCAAACCTATTTTTTTTTAAATTTTTGACCATATGTCTTACTCTTAGAGGATAGCAATTTAAAATTTCATTTTGGTTTTCTCTCATCCCTACCAATTTAGCAAAACATCTACTGTCAAGACAGTTTCTCTATTTCGCAAGTGGCTCTTACACACATTAGCCTAAAAGTTGCTCATCTGTTATAAGCTCTTGATCATACCTGAGATTTACTACATCCCCTTGTTTAATATCCGTTAAGACCCTGCTCCTAGATGTTGGCTAATACAGAAACATCACCCTAAAGCTTCTTCTGAGCAGCGACAGAGACACTTACCTTAATGTGCATGTACCTTGGCTTGATTATGCCCAGCAGTTCTCTCTTCTCATCCCCACCAAAATCCAATAGTGGAATCCAGGGACCAACAACGTTTTCTTCTCTTCTTCTTGGACACTCTTTCAGTTTTTGTTTTGTGGGCTTCAAAGCCACGGAGAGTTTGCAACCAGAGGCCACTGACAGTTCTGCAAAGGATAGGCAGTGGGGAGCCCAATACTGACTGGGCCCAAACACTGAATATAACCCTCTTTCCTCTCTGGAAAGCGTCCTTCATACTCTGAAGACAGGCAACTTTGCCGAATCCTTCACCCCACGGCTTGCCAGTCTCCACAGAAGAAAGGGTCTAACTGAAGTGGGCTGCAGGATGAGGCGACCCAAAAACCGAGAGCCATCTGCCCAGAACAGACAAGTAGAGGCAGGTAGAGGCTCTGTGAGTGTGTCTGTGTGTATGTGTGTGCGTTTGCATGCTTGTGCCCGGCAGCTGCTCTCGAGATTAGAAGACACCACTCTTGGCAGGCAGCTCTGAAACACCCTCTTGGGTAATTCCAAATTCACATGCACATCTTGGCTGAGAGAAGAATCCTCCCAGGACAACCTGAGTCCCTTTCTCTGCCTTGTCACTGCCCCAAATACAGTGTGAACCACAGACAATCAACGGTGCCAGCATCTTAGAAATAAATGTCCAAATGGACATTAAATTGCACCTCATTCTGTACCCTGCAACCATGAACTGATGCAAGCCTTGTTTGGGGATTTAAGTAACAAGGGCATGACCTCTTCTTTGACAGTTGTAACCCAAGGCTCTGTAGAGATTCGCTATTATTAACGCAATGCTGAACTTTAACTTGAATGCCTGCCTGTTCCATTCAGTGTCATATGAGATGAGATGTGAGTACAAAGTGCTGAGGAAGCTCCAGAGCAACATCTTAGTGTAGGATGGTATTTATTATTATTAATCAAGTTCTTTGTTTTATATTCGGTTGTTAAGAGAAATCTCATACCTTAGATTGCTAAAATTTGCAGAATCTAATTTTCTGTAAGTGGTATCGCTTGTTCCTGTTGAAGGAGGAGGGGCAGGAAGAAGGAGCTTGTTCATTTGTTTAGCAAGTATGTATTGCGTCACGCATTAGGTATCAGGTCCTCTACCAGATAAGCCCACCACCGGCCAGATACTCAATCTGCACATCATTAAATCGTCACAACATCCCTCCAAGTCCTATATTGGTGATCAAATGAAAAGACCAAAGCTGAAAATAATTAAGTAACTTCCCCAGGCTCTCAGAATTGGATTTGAGTCACTCCATAACCCATGCTCTTTATCTTTAAGATACAAGTAACTTCAAACTTACAGAAAAGATAATAGAATAATAAGGAGTTCACGTATACTTTCACCCAGGTTTTCCCAGCTTTTAACATTTTACCACATTTGCTGTCTTCCTCTTCCCCTTCCTTGGCCCTCCCCCTCCTCCTCTCCCTTCCATGTGCTTATGTGTGTATATTGTTTCTGAATCAATTCATACACTTTAGTGTGATTATCCTAAAAGACAAGTGCTCTTTTCTTTTTTTCTTTTATTGAGATGTAATTGACATGTAACATTATATTAGTTTTGGGTGTGCAGCATGATTTGAGGACACTGCTATACATAAGCACATTATAACAGTCAAATTCAGTAAACTAACACTAAAATGATATTACTTTCTAATCCATAGTTCCCTTCAATGTACAATATTACTTTCTAATCTATAGTTCCCTTCATCTTTTCACCAAATGTCTCATTAATATCCTTTATAAGGGAAAAAAATTCTTTTTTTCTTTTGGATAGGATTATATATCGCATTTAGTTGTCATGTTTCTCCTTCAGTCTTGAGCAGTTATTTGATCTTTCCTTTTATGTTTTGCCATGTGACATTTTGAAGAGTACGTTTTGTAAAATGTTCCTCAATCTAGGAGTGTGTGATGTTTTCTCATTACAAGACTGAATGTGTGCATTTTTGGGCAGGAATATCACAGGAGCAATGCTCTATTCTTCTCATAATCAAATCAGGAGATACATAAGCAGAGTTTGTCCATACCAGGACCCACACCACTTGGTGAAGGTGGCATCTGCCAGATATCTCCACCGTGAAGTTACACCTTTTCAGTTTGTAAAAAATAAGTATTTTGTGGGAAGATACTTTGAGAATATGTAAGTATATTGCTCCTAACTAAACTTCCTTAAAGTAGAAAGTTTAGTTAGGAGCAATATACTTATATATTCTCAAAGTATCCCCCTATTTTTGTGTTCATTTATATCAATATGCACTTACAGATTTCTATTTTATTCAGTGGGTTATAATCCATTAATATCATTATCTCGATACCAAGATGATCTCAATTTGGCCAGTGGAAGACCCTTCAAGCTGGCTCTTGTGTTCTTTTCACAAGTCCGCATCATTTTTTAAGTACTTCCTCGCTTTGGGGCACAAAAAAATGTAGCATATGCATCTTATATTTATTCTACCCAGCCCTGGAACTCACCATATCTTCAAGGAGATCTGGGTCCATAATGGAAAATGGTATATAGAAACCGAGATCTGGGCATTGGGTGCACTCACTGGACTAGGTATGCTCATGGTTTCTCGGTTCTCCCTCTTCCCCCCTCTCTCTCTGTCTCTCACTCTCTATTAAATACTAGATCACAATGATAGCTCCAGTCCCATTCCAACATAGGGGTTATTCTAGCTTTTGCTGTTCCCATGTTTATAACTCCCTTACCCAACAGTGGGGATAGCCTGGTTCCTATTATTCTCAAACCATTTACTTAGTTGCTCCTTGCCCCTGTGTGTTTTTAACTTCGTCAACCCTAATCTCTAAGGAAATGGAAGGGAAATAGTATTTTTTTAATAAAAAATAAAGGGAAAAGGAAGAATGTAAGAATCCCATACTCTTTCTATGCCTTGTAGCATCTATTTTCATGGCAGATCATCATGTTCTCTTGTGTGCAGATGTCATGGAAACAAGTATATAATGGCTAAGGGAAGAGTTCAGTTATTAATTCATTTAGCTGTTTTTGTGTTCACTATGTGTCAGGCACATTGTTAAAGACAGATACAGTCCTTGTACTTGTGAATGTATTTTTACTGGGACGTCTGGGTGGCTTGGTCAGTTAAGTGTCCGACTTTGGCTCAAATCATGATCTCTCGATTCACGAGTTCAAGCCCCGCATCAGGCTTTGTGCTGACAGCTGGGAGCCTGGAGCCTGCTTCAGATTCTGTGTCTCCCTCTCTCTCTGCCCCTTCTCAGCTTGCACTCTGTCTCTCTCTCTCTCTCTCTCAAAAATAAGTAAACATTTAAAAAATGATTTTTACCATTTCTTTTTACTTTTTAAATGTGACTACTAGAAAATGTAACATTACATACATGGTTTGTATTATATCTCTATTAGACATCATTGCTATAGTATCATATTATGAATACAGAAAAAATAATTATTTATCACACTTTCCTTTTTCATATGTCATATTTAGGAGATTCTGACATACCAGGATGGGCCTAAATTAGACTTTTCACCTTCTGTTCCATCAGCTTTGAAAGAGTTAAAGAAGGACACTTCTCACTTAAAATCTATATTGGCAGCATAGATCTTTGAAATATAAGTAACTTTATGAAATAATAGCTATTTGTTGTTTTAATAATTCTTAATATTTCCATTTGCACACTGTCCATTGGGCATCTATTCCAACACAAACACAATTGTCTCTGCTTGTTCATATCCTGAAATATAATTACTGTAGTTTCCATCTCTGTTGACATGGAATTGATACTAGTCTGTCAATTAAATTTCAAAAATTGATCCCCAAAGACGGACACTCTGTCCCCTTCCTGTGGCTTTCCTGTCACAGTGTCCACTGAAAATGGGTATCTACATAGAGAGGAAACAGAGGAGAGTTTTCGGCTGACTCAGTCCAAACAGATAAGTGAAGAAATTATGAGTACATGTGTCCATAAGCAGAACGTATCCTCTAAAGGTGTCATATTCCCACTCTTCTCAGGTGACCTACCAGCTAAATATAGAAGAGAAACAGCAGGAAAAAAATTACTTCTAATCTTTCAGTGGTCATTTTTTTTTCCCATGGACTCTGAGCTTCGGTTTACTCCTCTGTGAAGGTTTGGCACTGACAAAGATGAGATCTTCGTACTGTTGTGGCACTAACATTCTGTGAGTCTGTGAACTGATGACTTGAAAATGATCCAGCAAACCCCAACCCTATACTTTTTGCTAGACTCTTCCTAACAGTTAGTACTACTGATGTCTTCAAGGTGTTGAGAGAGATGTAAAGTACTGGTTCTCAAAAATATGGTGAGGTTTAAACTAATTTGCTCATTCATTTTTTCTGTTTGTTTCTATGAATTGTAAAAGAAATGTGGGGTTCTCCGTAGCAGAGATGGCTCACAGGATATCAGAGGCAGTATTCCCTGGGCATGCTTCAGTTTTTCTTGACTCAGATAACAGATCCCATCCTTCCCACTGTTCTAAGTCCCAATGGATTATATTCTTCCATGGTGCTCCCAAGGGCATACCTGCACCTTACTCTCAACCCACGTTATTATAATTGCCAACGTATTTGTCTCTCCCATTCTAGGCTGGGTGTTCCTAGAATACAGACTGCCCCCTTCAGCATTGTAGCCCCCACCCCTAGGATGCAGTCAATACACAATAAATATGTATTGGATGGAGGAAACATCACCACCCACCTTGACCAAGTGGACAAGGGAGAGAAGCAGCTCTAGAATAAAGCAACTTTAGAACAGCATCTCAGTGAGCTGAATGGTAAAGAAATCATAAAAGCACACATATTAAAACCATCAGTTATTTTCAATTCCAGGATTTGAAACCTTTTTCCTAATAGACGTTTTACCAGCAGCAAAACTGATGGATGTAAATTTCAACACATTATCCTCGCCTTCATGTTCCCTAAGGATTGAATTAACGATTTACATGTAAAAATCACAGGTCTGGATAATCAAACAGTAGTAAAGTATCTTCAAGTAAGCAAGTCTGATTAGGAAAACCTAGTATAATGAAAGGTACTCCTCGCTTCCTTTGAAATCAACCTGTGGACAGTGTTTGGGAATTATACGGTGTTTCAGGGTTTCACATTTTTGTAAAGTGGAAATGATACTAATAGGTTAACTTTCAAAAAAGAAAGACAAGGAAACATGTTCTTGGGTTCTGAATTTTGTTGTTGCAATGAGTTGTTTGTACTCTTCAGTTTCCAGGGGCTCTTTCTTCGTATACGTTACAAATGCCAAATACCAGGTGGCAGCTGTTTTAGCTCTAAGTCATTCCTCAAGTGTCCTGTTTTCATGTCATTATATGATGCTTTTCTCTTCGCACGGCTCTCATCACTCAATGGCCTTGTTGAGGTATAGCACTGCATAGCTCTCTTCACTTTTGCATCCATATTACTTTTCCAAATGGGTACTGGTTCTCTGAAAACTAGAGGAAAAGGAGAGAAGAAACAATTCCAGCGACATCTCAAATTGGAATAGTGTTTTCCCCTTGGCTAGAAAGATCCTTTGTGAA